CCCAGCCACACCAGGGCAGCTCCTGCTCTGCCCCAGGCACTGCCCGAGCAGCATCCCAGTCATTGAAACACTGGAAAAAGGTCTCAGGAGAGGATTTCCACCCCCCTCCTATTGTACCCTAGTCCTGCACAAAACAGAATGATTTTTTACAGATGGTTTCATTATATTGGGTTTTATTTTACAGCCATGCAAATAAAAAAAAAGAAAGACATCCTTTTAAATGGTGACATTTCACCAGCACTCAGCCCTTCCCCAGGGAGAGCTGCTGCCATTTGCTAATTACACGTTAACAGGAGAAGAAAATTATTAATTTGTTTTTTTAAATGGCTGAGTTATTTGATTCCGAAAAGTAGCCACTGTGCAGGGATTATTATTATTAATAATTTTTTTGTTCCTATCTGAAACTCAGCAGCAAACGTCCCTGGCAGTGCCCAGAGGGACCCAGACACCACTGGGACCCCCCCAGCACTGGCTGCAGGCACCGTCCCCATTGGGGTGGCCCCAAGGTGGGACATGGGACACCCTGTCCCCCTCCATGGTCACCCAGGACCACCAGCAGCCCATGGGGCAGGATTGCTCCCCCCAGGGAACCACTGGGAGCGTCCACCACACTCCATGGGGCAGGACCACTCCCTCCACAGCCCCCTCAGCTCATCTGGGGTCACCAGGAGCACCTCCCTTGCCCCATGGGGTAGGACTGCCCCCCTCCATGTGCCCCATCACTCCCCATCACTCACTTGTTGGCCGAACATAAACTTTCAGCTTCAGGCAGGGCTTGTCCACCACGTTCGGGGGGGACGCGGCTGCGGAGAAGCACAAGAGAGGGGGGGTTAGGAGTTGGGGGGCAGCAACTTGAAACCCCCATGGGCGTTGAGCAGAGCCCAGCTTGGGGCAGGGACTCCCCCACGGCCCAGCTGGGATGCCATGCCATGCCATGCTGTGCCATACCATGCCATCCCATGCCACGACGTGCTAATGCCACGTTGTGCCATGATGGGCCGTGCTGAGCCATAACATGCCATGCCAAGATGTGCTGTGCCATAACACACCAGGCTGTGCCATGCCATGCCATGCCATGCCATGCCAAGCCAAGCCATCCCAAGCCACCCTGGCCATCCCCTGGCAGCCCCACCCCGGGCAGCCGGTGCCCTTGACCCGGCGCGGCAGCCGCTGTCCCCGGGCCCCCGGGGGTGAA